AAATTGAATCAGGTGATTATTAAATTGCACATATGTGTAAAGGTAAATTCTTTAGTGTGGGGATGATTTTGAATATCAATTAAGGTCACTAGAATCTCCTAGCCCAAAGTTGAGTTGAAAGTTTCCTTACCGATTAAGTTTTGATGTAAGATTCTACTTGGGTCAACTTCAAACAACTATATCTCTTAGATTATAAAGAGTTACGTGATCCATAACCTATTCATTGAAGGTATTTCAATCATCTTTCCAACGCCAACAATTTCGCAACAATTCGAGTTTTGAGTAAAAGGCTATGACCATTTTAGTAATTTGATACAGTGCAGTGACGAATTAGCCAACGGAAAACATTAAAAAGGGTCGTTTTTTTGTCTTTTTACCTCTAAAAAATGTAACGACCCATTAGGTCGTTTTGAGTACTAGAGCTTTTTATTTTACAAAAGACCTTTCGATAAATTTTTGATGAGAATTTTAAGCTATTTATTTAACTAAGGTTATTTAGTTGATGGGTATTTATTAAATAATAATTTTTTATTAGTTGGTGATTAATGGGCCAAGTCCATATTTTATTAAATACCCTTAGCATTGATCAATTTATTAGAAAAAAATATGACAAGAAAGGGAGAACAACAGGAAACATACCTTTACGACGAGGAACAACACCCAACCGCATCCGGTAAAAATTCAACCTATGCATTTTCTTGGGTAGAAGTCATATTATTATTTTTATTAGTATTATCATGTTGGCAGTCGTTTAAGGATGGAAGAAAATTTTAATGTTGCATGAGTTGAACCTGCAAAAGAGTAAAAATTGTAGTTTTGTCTTTTGATTTAAGGACAAGGCCTTGGTGGCCAGTCAATTGCTATTGATGACCAATGGTCACCAATTGAGACTTAATTAGGTTTGTAGAATGAATTTGAAATTTGGATCAAAGTTTTATACGTTATTCCAGTGTTAAAGTTACGGGTCATTCCTTTGGTTTTGGGTGTGAAATTTTCTTTTGGTTATCATATTATGATTCAAGTTTTAATATATTGAGATAGGTAATTAAATATTAGGTGTATTGTATTATTTAAATACCATTAAAGTTATGTTATTTGGAGGAATTAAGACTTAACACTAGGCTTGAATTTAAGACACGTGAGACTTGATATATTAGTTGGTATCAAAATTTAAGAAATTGATTATAGATTTGGGTGGGTCTTTGAGAAGGAGATAAGGTTTTACGATGAGTAATAAGTCAGTTCCTGGTAGTGATGCATGAAAGTTCAGTTTGGTACAAGTGACGAGAGAATGAGGAATTCTTATAAGGATTGGTTAGTAGGAGTTCATGGAGTGGTTAAGCTCACTAGGCTTAAATGTGATGTTGGCAGCATGTGGATGAATGCATGATGCATTAGGTGGTTCTTGATTAAGACTTGAGGTTGGTTAAATGCAGAAGTAAAGAGTAATATTCTTGGGATGAGATTTCCTATAGAGGTATAGAACCCAAATCTTGTGATTTAGATTAGAATAATCACCTTATGTTAAGTAATTTGTGATTTTGAGTTAGGATAGAATGTAGTAAGAGCATACAGTTAGACTCAGACCTTAGTAAAAGTAGTCATATACCCTTGTGGGAGCTATGAGTTGCATCCAATGAGGAGTAGTAATAAGAAAGAAGAGCATAGTTGAAATGTGTCTCTGAGCTTGAAAGTTGCAGTCATATCAGTCAAGGCATATTATTTATATTCATATTTCATACCCAGATATCCTTATTTCATTTCAAATAATTTCAGATAGAGTGTAACTATGTTCAAACTCATATTGTTCATTACCTATGTGTTATAGTCTAGTTTCAAAACTCTCAGTATGAATCAGTTATGCCTATATTAGTAGACAAGTTTAGAAGTCGAGAGAGATAGTGATAGTGAATCCTTTCCCTTCCATTCCCAGTTTAACCGTCATTTGAGGACGAATGATCCCAACGGGGAGATATTGTAACACCCAAAAAATCTCTAACCTAAGGCCAGAACTATTCTTCATTTACATGGACAATTTAATCGAGTAATTATTAAATTGTCCATATGTGTAAAGGTAAATTATTTAGTGTGGGAATGATTTTGGATATCAATTAAGGTCACTAGAATCCCCTAGCACAAAGTTGAGTTAAAAGTTTCCATACCGATTTAGTTTTGATATAAGATTCTACTTGGGTCAACTTCAAACGACCATATCTCTTAGAATATAAAGAGTTACGTGACTCATAAACTATCAAATTAAAGGTATTTGAATCTTCTTTACAACTCCACCAATTTCACAACAATCCGAGTTTTGAGTAAAAGGTTATGACCATTTTAGTAATCTGAATAGTGCAGTGACGAATTAGCCGACGGGAAAATATTAAAAAGGATCGTTTTTGTCTTTTTACCACTAAGAAAACCTTAAATGAATTTATTGACTAATTAAAGGCTCAAAACGATCAGATTTTCATCTCTTAATCCCCATTCTCTTCTTTCTCAAACCTAAGGAAAAATCAAAGTAGAAGACTTTCATTCAAGATTTTTTCAATCTTTTTTCAGGATTTTTCTTCAAGGTAAGTCCTTCTCCAAGAACTTCATTCTTTTCGACTCAAATTTCTTCATACAATTATGAATCACTAATGAAAATTATAATTCTTGGCCATAGAAATTTCAAGAAACTAATTCAAGAATCTCAAGAAAGATTTTCTTGATTGTTCTCCTTCAAGCTAGGGTTTCAAGGCTTCTAATCAAGTTCTTTTTCAAGATTCTTCAAAAACCTTGTTCTTTTAGAAATGTAAGACTATCATAGTGTTGGACTAGTTCATCCTCGCGCCCGACACCTACTTTCAAATTAGTAAAAGAGTAATCTAGGTTTCTATCCCTAGATTTGGTATTCTTGAGATGAGTTGATTTTTAGTTCTTGATTCTTTTTTTTGAAATTCTATTCCTAATTATTGAATTGCTATATGTTATGCATTAAGATTCTTGAGTAGATTCGTTCATGTCTATATTTCAACATGAACCCTATGAATTGAGTATTCTTTAGATGAGAAGTGTCATTGAGTTCTGAGTTCTTGAGTCCTTGAGTTCTGAGTATTGAGTTCTATATTGTTATTGAGACCCTTGAGTTGATTTGTTCATGTCTATAATTCAGCATGAACCCTATTTTGAGTTATAAATCTTGAGAAGATTTTTAAAGCCAACACTTGAGTATTAAACTGAGTTTTTGAGGAAGTAAAGATAAGTTCTGAGAAAGAGTTTTTAAAACATGATTAGTATGACAGTCGAGTATGCCATCAATTTTTAAACAGTGTGGTATCTAGATATGCCATCAATGTTTATGTAGTATGACTTCCCGAGTCATCAATGATCATATCACACTATGTAATGTGTGTTTAGATCCCAAAATTCTTTTTTCCATTCTTTCAAAAAAAATCTCATTTTTTTTATCAAATTTGTCGACAAATTGTACTGGTACAACATGACCATGACGATCTTGTTGAGAGATTCCAGAATCTAAGAAAGTGAGGTGAGGTATGACCGATACAAAAGTGATGGAATTGTTGTTGGTCAAAATATAGGTTTGTGAATCTCAAATCAGTCATTGCAACTGAATTAGAGATCGATAAGTGTTGTATTTCTACTAGATACGTTAAATAAGAAATTGTTACCCATAAGATGTTAGGTATGAGATCAATACATTATTGTTTGGTAATTGTTATGTATCAGATACATTTAGTATAAATTCGAGTTTACATATCATGCCTAAAAATTAGTGCATGATACATTATTATTTATGTAACTTGTTTTGCTTGAGAGCAGAATTCATATGTAGTAGAAATTTGTAGATGAAAAGGTTGATACATGATAAATGATACATTTGGTAGAATTTTTGTATCAAGCATCAATACTAATTAAGGTTATGTATCAAAACTAATATTTGAACACGATACAGTGTGCATGATAAATTGTAATGTATCATAATATTGAAACGAAGGCAGTATATATTAGTTTAAGAAACAAAATCAACTAGATACATTAAAAATATGATCCTATATGTATCAGAAAAGATAAACAACCAAAAAATTGGGGAAAAAAATCAACAATCTAATCAACGGAAAGCAACGAAGATGTATCCTTCTCGGACTAATTGGGTAAGCTCAATATTGAAAGATCGACCAATGAATTGAAGTATATCAAGACCGCCATTAGAAATTCCTGGAACAAATCCAAATGCACTACAAGATGAAGTTTCTGCATTAGCAACTCTTTTCACCCCTCTTCCAATAAAGAGACTGCGAGTAACAAATTCAATAATTTTTTAAGATTAAAAAACTACAAAAAAAAATTAAAAGAAATTGAAAATTGAAGTGATGGAAAGAAATCTACCTCTTGAATAACTTAAAATCATTAATTCGAAAGAGAAAAGATTTGAAATTCAAAAATGGATTAATGTTGGTAACTGTAGAGAGATTTGTGGCTTGAAAAAAGGAAAGAAAATCATTGGTATGAGATATCAAATTAATGTATCCGGAAAAGGGTATGATGGGAGCAAAAGAGGGGATTTTTGATGTTTTTTGAAATGGTAGGAAAAATAAGAAAATATGATAATAAATAGTGTGTAGTTAGGTAATTTTTTCTTAAAAAAACATGAAGAGCCCACTTGGAAACCAAATTTGCTTCATGAAATATGTTTTCCAAAATCACAATTAAATTATAAGCATTTAAATAAAATATATAAAGAATTCACTTGGAATCAAATCTGCTTCATTAATTACACTTTCCAAAATCACAACTGAAATTTTAACATTTTAATAAAATACATGAAGAATTCTCTTGGAACAAAATCTGATTCATGTATTATGTTTTTCAAAACTATAAATGATTTTTTATATTCTTAGGCCTATATATATGAATTTATATTCTTCACTTAACTTGCTCAATTGTAGTCTCTTCTCTCCCAAATAAAGAGTTCTCCTCTTTATTAAGTATAACAAAATATGTCTAATAAGGAGTGCCTTGAGAACAATACAGAATCAAGTGGTGGTAATACAAAAAAAAACCTTTATGAAAAAATAGCAAGTTTAATGGAGAAAGCACAAGAATTGTCAACTTTGTGTGATGTACAACCTGGGATAGTTATTTTCACTCCAGGCAAAGATATTTTATGGCCAACAGAAAGTCAAGCTAAGGAAAGATTTCAGAATTATTTAAGTTTTCGTTGGGACACAAGGAATGATAATCTTGTTACACATGAAACCAATCTTGAAAAAAAGAAGAAGGCTCAAGAAGAAAACATTAGAATAATGGAACAGGAGAATGAGGAGAAAGAAATGGAGTTGTTGTTTAATGAAGTTATTGATGGAAAAAGCTATTTGGAACTCGATGCTAGAGAACTTAAAGGTATGATAAAGCTAATTGCTCTTAAGAAGACTAAAGTTGATGAACGTAAGAAACAACTGCAAGAAGAAGATCAACCAATAAAAGGTAATGACAACAATATTGAAGAGAAGAATGATAGCATCCCAAAAAATAATTATGTTTAAGTATTTTATATTTTTGTTGTTGAGTCAATGTTACTTTCATATTTATTTAATGTATTTTACCTTTATATTTCATATTGTTTATCTTTTCTTTTTATCATGTTGTTTGTTTTTTTGATGTATTGAAGTCATCTATTTTACTAGCTTAATTTATTTTATTGTTGTTTAATCAATATTATTATATGTGTAAGACTTGGCATGTTGAATTTCAATTTCAGTAATATATATTCCCTCCCTCCTCTCTTAACTAGATTAACTTAAGTTTGATTTTATTTGATACAAATATTATTTGAGACATTTTGATCTATAGATTAATGATCTTTTTAATATTTTTAGTAAATACTTATGCAAGAAAATAATACATACCTTCTTAGAAATGAAAGCTTCATTAAACCAAATAACTTATAAGGGTGAAATCAAATTTATGTCGATAAATGTTTTCTGTTCAAGTTGAACTTTATCAGGCAAAGTGTTGAAAAAAAAAATTGCTTTTAGATGACTTGTTGTATTATTTAAATCATAATACTCATTGTATTGTTTTAATCATATGTTTTAATATAGGGAAAAGGGCCTGATATACCCCTCAACTTTGTCATTTAGAGCTGATATGCCCCTCGTTATGAAAGTGGCTCATATATACCCTTACCGTTATACAAACGGCTCACATATACCCCTACCGTTACAAAATGAGCTCACATATACCCTTCATTTAACGGAAGTGAAAAAGTTAGTTTTAAATTTATATTTTTGACTTTTAATTTTCTTAAAAATTATTCAGGGGTATATATGATTCTTCTAGCAAAGTTCAAGGTATATTTTAGGGATAAGGGTCTGAAAAATATCTCAACTTTGGTCGATTTTGCTGTTGCGATACTAAACTTTCATGAGGACCTATTACCTCCCTAAACTATTTAATACCGTATTTTAAACATATATATTTGCCCACGTGGACATAAAAAATAATGCAAAATTATAAATAGTAATGTGTCCACGTGGGCACATATATACCTTTAAAATACACTATTAAATAGTTCAAGGAGTAAATCCGACCAAAGTTGGGGTATTTTTCAGACCCTTATCCCTTATTTT